GCTAGCGGATTAGCCCAGCTCTGGACCACGGAGGCAAGCACAGCTGGATGCAGGATGAGAGAGATGCTGTGCTCAACTGATGCTGAGGTGAGAGATGCTGTGATCACTATCCCAATACAGAATGCATATAAATGGAATGATATAAAGCTGGAGGATATGGATTTTATTTTAGATTGTTATAGACCAGATATATATTATAATGTAGACAGTCTTGAGCATCCTGAAAGAATTTAACTGAGTGTAGAAATCACAATATGAGAAATTTGTTTGTGTCAAATTCACTTGTGCCATTTTGTATATTACTACTTAGAAAAACATAAAAATGAAACATAATTCAATCAATAATCAATTAAAGTGCTTATGGCACAGAGTACAATTGGATTGTGGGGTTAATGCATTTTATAAAGCCTGTTTTTGCAAGAGAAACTCACCATGACACATTTAGATGCAAAAATTGACAATTTCAATCGCTTCACAAATAATGTTCTAACTCCTGTTTAGAAGCTGTTATTTGAAAGATTATTTTTTCTGGTACTTTTTGGCATGTAGTGGCATCAAACAAAGTAAATTCCAGAGAGTTGGGCCTAATAGAACCTGAATTACAGAATTTCAAAAAAATATTTTTTTTTTAAACTCCAAAAGCGCCTATGTTTTTTTTTGTGTTTATTGTAATATTTGAAAAATATATAATGTTATTTATAAAAAATTACACTCATATTTTGTAGTTCAAAGGGGTTTCTTTACAATGAAACCATTTTTTTTTCATTTCCTCCATTGTATGTGTGTAGGGCAAACATTTGAATTTGAGTATGAAAAATTTAGGCGAAAATACCAAAAACGCCCCAGAGAATAAGTGGTTTTAAGTACCGAGTAATATTAACTACATGTACTTACTGGTTAGGGTTACTTGCATGTAATTATGCATAATTTATTGTTATTATAATAGTAAGTACATGTAGCATGTGTAACAAGGACACCTTAAAATAAAGTGTTACCACCTATTTTTGCATGTAAATTTATAATTCCGCATCTATTCTAATTTTTTTAATGTATTAAACATTTTTACATTTCTAAATAATATATGGCCAAACATCAATTAATTTACATTTGTAATATGTTTTGTATTAATTGTAAAATGATTATTTAAAAATATTATTTAGTATTACACATTGTTATATTTCTAAATGAATATTCTAAATTGCTTTTATAATATTATATTTACATTTAAATGTATGACTTATTCTAAAATTATTATTAAAAAAAACAATAATTAGTAATATTTTTAAATATATACACATGTATAGGTAAATCAAACATTTATTAATAATAAAACCGTAAGAAAATGTCCAAAAATACCTGGAAATTAATGCATTGTTTGCAAGGCACAAAAATGCATGTACATGATCAATAAATATGGCGCTGATATAGTGTTGGTCCAATAGGGCAAGTGACAGTTCTGCTTTTGTAAAGCAAACCACTTTAAATCAAAGCATGAATCAAATATTACACTATACATCAGTGCTTTCTAAATCTGCATTGAGTTTGTGTTTTTCTGTGTGCCATGTACCTTAAACATGTCCCACTCTGTGCAGATGACCAGGGCATGTGCACTTTCACATGCCTCATAGGGGTCTGACGTCACTGTTACAAGATCAGACACTGCAGAGAGAATGAGAGTCACGGCAAATTAGACTCAAGCGTGTGACAGAAATGTTACGCCCATACCATACTGTGATGCCATGTATACCATGAGCGATGAGACAAAGCCAATAAAACCCATTACAAACAAGGCATTTGTTGCATCCAGTGGGGACATAATTACGGATTATAATGACATACTGTCTTTTTAAGCGTTGCGTTGCATCGCGCCGCGTAAACATAAAACCATGTCTGCATTTGTGA